TGTCAGATTTAACGTACTTGGGAACTGCTACTGGGTACTCTTGGCCTGAGAGAAGAACACTGCTTTAACACCAGTACTGCAAAGAATGACTTAAGTCTGTCTCATGCATTGGCTGAGGACAAAATGAAGGTAGCATCACAGGGACATGGTATAGGAAAGATATTTCTAGGCTACGTTTGTACCTTGATTGAATATGTATGGGGAAAGGCCCTAAGCCAGAACCAGCCAACCCATATTAGGGTGCAGTACTAAGCACTTTATGAGATTCACCATGATCTGCCTGTGTTGAAAATGGGTGTTTCGCATAAGATATTTTTAAGTTTATAACCATAAAAAAGTGCTTTGTTTCTAAGTTATCAGCTGGAATTAGAATGCTGGGTACATAAAGCAGTAGTTTAAACCAAACATCTGCATCTAAAATGGGAATTGTCAGAATTTAAATTTCCCTAAACTTTTAATCCCAAATTATTTGGGGCTGTTACTCAAAGGTGTTCTGAAGCATATTACACAATATGCTTATGCATGGTTAATTCAACTATTATTAATTCACCGTACTTGATTTTCTGGGTTTTCATGATTTATTGAACTATAAACTAACTACACTGATTGGGTTTGTATAACACACTAAACACCATAGACTATAATTGGCATATTTGTGGTTCAAAGTGTTATGTGAATGCAGCCTGAATCAGGGTTCACAAATACTGCTAAATCATATGTTTTGTTAGCTTTGATTCTATGTCATATATAAACTCAGTCACTGAATGTAGATTCAGAGGCACTTTTCATTATTGTATATACTAGTTATGATTTAACTCAGCATTATATATATATATATATCATGACTGAACTTTGTCATTAACCACAGTGGAGGCTAAATCATGAATTTGGAATTGGGCTGCTGAACTGACAGAATTAGCCTGAAAGTCATTCATTTCCTATCTATGTAATACCTATTTGTAGTTTTCTAAACACCTTTTAAGAGTGACAATTTTAGGCACTGTTTTTTTAAACTAACCTGGTATTTTGGTTGAAAGATGGTTTTAAGAAATTTTAATGATTATCATACTTACATTCCACTTTAACTCATCTTGTACTTAATCTTCCCACTCTGTATATTTTCTATTGAAATTTTAATTGTATTTGTTTCATTCATTCATTCATTCATTCATTCATTCATACATTCATACATTCATAAGTTATTACAACAAGATGGTAATACTGTGATTAAATAAACAGAAAATAAATTGTTTGCTGCCAATGATTAAAACATGCACATTAAAAAAGAACTTTGACATATTTTATGCTATATGAAAACCTAGACTCCCACATTCTAGCTAGGTTTTTTTACTCCCACATTCTAGCTAGGCTCATACAACATGCTAAGTTATGATTATTTAATAATCTTTCATTATGTAGGCCACAATTTGCTGGGTCGACATTTTGTGTTAAATTAAAACCATTAAAATCATACTATAGTTTAATATGCTGTGCTAATCCAGCCATTAAATAAACAGGATTTCAACATGCTATTTCTCTCTTCCATCTACTTCCTTTTTTTAACCATCCTGTCAAATAATTTGTGGGAACTCAAATGCTTGCATACTATTTTGTGATCTTGAGTAGATCTAAGGAAAGTAGCCTTACTGTAGAATTTGAACTTCTTGAGCTAGGTAATGAAATTCAGTTAGACATTAAATTACCAGCATTATTGACAAGGGTTTGTATGACACACAGGGCTCAACTACGTTTTAGCCAAATGGAATGTGCAGAGCCAGCCCTTGTTGTTAGTTTATGGTTCAATGTGCCATGAAAATCCAGTAAACTCAGAAAATCATGCTTAAATATGGCATGGTTAAATTTGGCAGTGTATGTGTTATTTCTGTATAAATAGGGCAATTCAACAAATTCAACAAATAATAGGTTTAATGATACCCTGAACCAGATTTTACCCTAGTGAAGGGCATTATTTTAGTACACAGTTTTATATTCTATATATTCTATAGATATATATATATATAT